ACTGGGCGGCGCCCATAGTCACAGTGAAAAAGGTAAACGGAACCATTCGCCTATGTGGAGATTATTCCACCGGCCTGAATGCAGCACCGAATCTTCATCAATACCTGATGTCACTGCTGGAGGATCTTTTCGGCAAAATCAACGGCAATCGCATTTTCTTAAAGATTGATCTCTCGGATGCCTATCTTCAAGTGGTAGTCGATGATGACGCACGGCGCCTTCTTACAATTAACACACACAGTAGTCTATATCAGTACAATCGGCCACCCTTCGTAGTGAACGCTGCTCCGGGACTCTTCCAACTACTGACGGATACCATGCTAGCGGATATACCATCGGCTTGTGCATACTTGGATGACATTATTGTCGCATCAACAGACAGAACGCATCATATCTGCCACCTCTTGCAGATATTCGAAAGCCTACGAGAATATGGTTTGATTCAGAGAGCTGATAAACGTGATTTGTTTATGTCTCAAGCGAAACACCTTGGTTTCATTGTCGATCGTGACGGGCGAAGAACTGATATTAAAAAAATGCGCGTCGTCGAGGAATTACCTACACCAGACAATACACCTTCTTTGCAATTGTTCCTGGGCATGGTAAGTTATTACAGTGCATATATTCCTGATATGCATCGACTTCGTGGGCCAATGAATAAGTTGCTTGGTAAAAATCGACCTTTGGTTTGGTCATCTAAATGTAAGGAAACGTTTAGGCTCATAAAGAAAGCTCTTTTATCTGACTTAATGCTGGCTCATTATGACCCCAAAGCAGATATTATTGTCTCCTCAGATGCTTCTGATTATGGTGTTGGAGTAGTTCTCCGTCAACGATTCGACTCCAGTACCACGCGATGGATTGCCTACGCATCACGTGCCTTAACCAAGTCTGAAAGAAAGTACTTACGGATCAAGAAAGAGGCACTGGCTTTAACTTTCGCTGTCAAAAGGTTTCATCGGATGTTGCAGGGTAGAGAATTCGTATTGGAGACTGACCAAAAACAATTATTAGCCATTTTCGGTTCAAAGAAGGGTATACCTGTGTACACGGTGAATCACTTCCAACGCTGGGCGACACTGTTGCTCGCATATAATTTTACTATAGCTCATGTGCGTACGGCAGATTTCAGCTACGCCGATGCGCTGTCTCGACTTATCGCAAAACAGCCGAGCATAGAGGAAGACCAGGTGATCGCCTCAGTTGCGCTTGAATCGGACCTAAAACAGCTTCTGTGTACTTTAATCAGAGCTCTGCGGATTACTTCCGTGGACATTCAGGAGCACACCAAACTCGACCCTCTTTTGCAAAACGTTATTCGTTTTTTAAACACAAAGTGGCCAGACCGGATTACTGACACACACCTTAAACAATTTTGTTGTCGATGTGACTCGTTAATACTGGTTAATGATTGTGATATGTTCGGTGAGCGCGTGGTTGTTCCTAAGTTCATGCAGACAAGGTTATTAAGATATTTGCACATATATCACCCCGGAATATCACGGATGAAACCTTTAACCAGAAGTTACGTATACTGGCCTTTTATTAACAGCGCTATCCATGAATGTGTCGCCACATGTAGCAATTGTGCATCAGAAGCGAAACTTCCAAGCAAAATCATCCAACATTGGATGCCAGCCTCTAAGCTATAGGAAGAGGAGGAGGAGGAGGGAATTCAGGTTGATTTCGCTGGTCCAGTGCAAGGCCAGTAATTTTTGATTGTGGTTGTTGAGTATACTAAGTGGCCGGACGTATACGTGATGAACACAACTACGACAGCGGCCACAGTAGGAAAATTACAACAGTTATTTGCACAGTTCGATTCACTAAACACCATGGTTTCCGATAAAGGTTCGCAATTTATCTCCGACGATTTTGTTGCTTTCTGTCAGCGTAATGGTAGCAAGCACTGCTGGTCGCCTCCGGGGCATCCCCAGTCCAACGCGCAAGCAGAAAGATTCGTGGATACGTTCAAACGTTCACTTCTAAGACTGCGGGGGAAGGACCGACAGGGTAGATCATACAGCTGTTCCTGTTGACTCATCGGACTACGCCTAACTCCACTGTATCAGGCAGCAGATCCCCAGCGGAAGCCATGTTCGGACGTGAGATACGTCTTCCAATTGATGCATTACGCCCTAAGGTTACGCAACGGCTGCTCGCGTCAGGCGTGAGCGGAAGTTTGCTACTACGGCAGCCAGTGTACGCGTTGGATACAAGGCCGAACCACCAAACCGAGCAACCTTCAGTGGTCCGAAAAATAAAGGCACTGTACTGTACGAGGTGTCTATCGGACCGTTGTCTCTCGTATGGTGGGTTAATCAGTTACGCAAACGACGGATCGAACACACGGTCATTTAGACTTTCGAGTTGCCGTTCGATATACTGCTGGACACGTTTGAACTACCTAAAAGCTGTGGGTCTTAGTGAGCCAACGGAAACGTGCACAGAATCATGCCACGGAGTCACTCGGAGACTTATGCGGACAACTAAACCGATCCGACGTTTACCGGTCAACGCAGCACTACATTCATATTAGAGGTGTTTTCAAAGGGGGAGATGTTACACCAGGCAATCCGGTGCCTAAGAGTACAATGTCGTCCCACACACTGACCGTGAACTTCACTCTCACCCAATGGTCTACCGTGGTTCATACGCAACAGGCCGCCGCCTGTCTGACACACACTCTTAACCTATGGTGTCGGCTGTCTTGCGTGTTTCATCTGACTTGAGATCTGGTTAATGCACTGTCCGGTGCGATGGAAGTCTTTGTTCTGACGGCTCATTCTGACGGTCCCATTAAGCGCAATCATAACAGAAGCAAGTGGTGTGATTTACAAAATCCACTGCAAAAGTTAACAAATACTATGTGGGCCAGACTTGGAAGGAAGCTCGGCACTAGGCTACATGACCATAGCCCAGCCATTCACCGACATGACCAGAACTCCCTGATGTCGGTATACATGGACGCCGAGAATCATCAGTTTGACTTGGAGAACGTCAAGATCATAGACAGGGCAAAAGGTCAAAAAGCGCGCGAGTTCATCGAGGCCTGATACTCGGGTGAAAAACTCAATCAACAGACACTTAAATCTAGATACTGCCTATGAAGTGTTGAGGATCAAATTAATACCGCCCAAGATCAACAGGACAAAGGAACGCCAATGAGGCAGACTCTAGCCAACGGAACGCAAGAGCTGACTACACGGTCAACTCACGTGGACCAATCGACTCCTGTCGTTCGAAGTGATCATTATTCACCTGGATCTCTAAGTGGCCCGCATACATCGCACTGATGATGTCGTCTAGCCTAACGATGAAACGTCTGCAGCCAAATCGCCCAGCTCGTAGAACACCAGCATATTCGCATCCGCATCCTGAGCTACAAATATTCTCATTAATTTCTGACAAATATGCTCTAAATGAAAAGGGAACAGCAAGTTGGGGGGGGCTGGGTGTTCAGGTAAACCTAGTTTGACGAAAACGCTTCCACACAAGCCTCGCAGCCACAATAGTTCTGATGGCTTCCTGTAAACCGTACTACTGACGCACTAGGGTCGATAATGATATTGCCGGCAGACTGCCCATATCTGATCGGTCCATTGAGCTAACGACATAGTGAAAAACTTAACGGTTGAGGAAGCATTTAACGGTTTCATCACGTTCGTTCCGGTAACGAATTTAAATGGCAAGGTGCGTTCAAACATTTCGTTAAACTTAGAGTTTATTACCCATCCAGGTCCGGCGCCAAAGGTATAATCGTGGGTTTTCTAGACGTTAATCTTGGAAAGCCTATACGGTGCCCTTAATCAGGCGTTATTAGTTATGAAATGATGACGCATAGATATTTCGCCCCTGTGTATTTTTAAAGAAACAACTGGCCTAGAGATTTTTAGCAGGAGACCTGTGAGATTAGACTTTCTGCCGGAAAGCGCTAATGAAAGTTTTACTTGCTGAGAAGTGCGAGCTTTCTATTCAAAATAATATGCAGCTGCAATTTAGTAAGGATACTGGATCAGGACATGTTTTTAACGATAGCCTACCACACGAAATCATTTAATGGGATGACCATAACATCCGCTCACAGACATAGATCGTTGCGTTAAGTGCTGCCCGTCGTGACCCAGTGACTAAGGGAGTAAAGGTCCCAACTAGCATTTCAATGGTCTCTGGTTCAAGGCTTGCTATACCTACCTGATTAGATCAAATAAGGTTGAAACGGTCGTAGAGTTCAGTGACTTCGTGCGGCCAACACCCGTTATCTTCCTGATCGCCTACAGCCTTTCAAACAAACAGCCTATATTTAATGAGCAACTAGGCCACCCGAACACGAAGGCGTCCAACACTGCGTGTGGGGGTGAGAAAACCAATCGCACTAGCTTATGTGCTATAAACCGTCACCTTGGGTTTGCTTCATAAAATCCACTGTTTGGTTACCATGGATAAAAATTAAGGAAGTGTAGCACAAACGAACTTCCGCTCCAGTGCAGTGCACACAAACAATGAGTTTAGTGAAGCAGTTAGATATTGAAGCCATGTCACCAAAAATGACTGGCAACCGCATTCTATTTGCTTGATTGCAGGGAGCTTGGAATAGGTCATCCATAAATTGTACCATATTCATTCCCAGACTATTAGGTTTCCAGATGTTCCATTCGTTTCATGATAACATCAACCAAAGTTTCTCAAGGATTTGCCTGTAAATTGGATGGCGGGAGGTACCACTGAGTCCGTGGGCATACGTAATTAGCCCATAAGTAACCGACATATACTGAAGGCATGGAGTGTCGATGAGAACCCATCTCCATGTGCAATTCTGATATTGTAAAATGACAATCTTGTAAGGGAAAGGTATTAAAAATTTAAAACTTTTTTCACCAAGGTGCAAGCCAAAGAGTGTGTTATCGTACTCTTCCACCCAGTCGGTGCATTGTGTGTGTGTGTGAGTGTAAGTTGGTGAATGTGTTACGGTTAGCGCCTCTCACAGGCGAGAAACATACCCGAAGCGTTTGCGTTTTCCTCAGTGTGCCTGAAGACTGCCGCATCTTGGCATCGCTTTGATTTCTGTCCAAGCTGTACGTCTTTTCACGATATTCACGAGGCGTACCTCGTGTGGTTACCTTTGAGGAGGGCGGATAAATTGTACAAAAAACCGACAAACAATGGTCACCACTTTTGGTAGGTTGCTCACTCCGTAGTTCGAAGTAGACCGCGAGAAGTGTTTGCGAACTTGTGTCAAGATTTGTTATGTAGAATACTGCATTACCAGCCAAAATGGTCATGATACTAGGAAAACGTTGTAGTTGAAACGCAGAATATTACTTATTAAGGTGTGGTATAATCGGTAAGTTTCGGAGGCCTTTAAAACTAATCCTGCAGCCTTTTGCACATAGTTCTAAAATAGGGCAGTATGTCACAATATTTACAACAGCTAAACGTCTAAACAGGAAAGCGGATTCGCACCTTAACTTGTATCAATCGAGGATAATATTTCAACATTTTACGCAACCATCAAGGGTTGATGACATCGACAGAGTTTGGGTTTGCTTTTAGTGATGCCTCTGAAACATTCCGATCGGCCGCTACAATCGATTTTAAGGCGATAATACGAACTGTTAGCCAGACTTAAACCGCCCAGGCGTTTTTTAATTACTTCTCTTGGCATGCGGTTTTTCCCTTTGCCGACTTGTTGCGGTAACACCAGGCTAATGTATGAACATGAAAAGATGCGTGGAACGTTCGACAGAATGATTAATGGTGGCTGATATGTGTCCATGTCATGATTAGTAGTTCTGTGACTAGCTGCATACAAGCAGGAAATCCTACACCCGTTCCTGCTAACTTGTCTTATCGAAGGTCATACCAATTTTAACGAGGTAGCATGGGTCCCGCGTCTACAACTAGTTAGTCGGATGGACAAAACATGTCCGTATAGGTACCGTAAGGAGCTGTCTTCAAACTAAGATACGGCTGACGCGCGGTCTCAGTGACCGATCCGAGATTCTGACTGACAGAATAGCAACTGATGCCGTTTAGCCACGATTGGCCACGATTGACCATGACACTGACAATGCAGTGGAGGACATGTTGCAAATTTCTTATGTACCACATTACAGATCCTTTACTTAGCTACTGACATTTTACAAGTAGTAAAAATATTCACGTATTTCAAGTAGTTTCGCCATAGAATTTCATTGTACCCCATTGGGCGCATCAGTGGGGTTCGTCTGTCAAAGTAGTAAAGAATATGGTCCTAAAGTCGGCGACTTGCATCACTAAGCAGGTGGCAGCTAACGTGGCGTGACCAAACGTTTGCCTGAGTCCAAATGCGATAAAAGTGCTCGAGATGGCACCGGCACTTTTCGGCTTTAAGCGGATAACTTACAACTTGTCCATCACTGTTCACTGCTGTCATAGTGGTGACGATTCGTCGGAACCGTTGCAACGGTAAAGTAGGGCTAGAACCTGGCGGAGAAAATTTATTGATATAGGCCGTAAAATATTCACGGTGAAAACAGCTTCTACTGGAATGCAAACCTCTTGAGCTGACGAAGCACTTAAGTTTTCCTAAACATAGCACATTACCAGGTAGCTTCTTACAGTTGGAGCAGCCAATTGAACGAAAAGCGACACGACGAAACCATGGAAAACGGAACCCACAGTTGGTGGATTGTAGAACAGATTTCTCGTGTCAAATAATGTACCTAATTTCTTATAGCATTTAGATGTAGATCAAATTGTAACACAGATCATATAAATGAGCTTCACAACACTGAACCCCGAAAGTGAGTCAATTGACGGCTATAGCAGGTACCAAGTTTCTAACTGCCGATCATCAGTCTTGAACGCATTAGAGAAGTCAGCGCAGTAAGGCACCAAATAGGTAAAAAGACAAGATCACTGAAATCCTCCCACTGACGGCAGCTAGTTTAACTGAAGATGTGGTAGTAGAACACGGAGCCGGCACGAGGTTTTCTAAAAGTGAAGTGGACATACCTGCTGGGCGTCTTTACCACGAGCGTATTCTGAGGTAGATGCATCATAACCACGTTGGGAACTGGCATGAACTAATTCGGCTCGATGTATTCCCATTTCCCCTGGTTCACAGGAACCGTCCAGTGACGGTTCGTATGGTTGGTAATCCAAAGGGGACAGAACCGGTCTGTTGTGAGGTCTAGGCGGTTTCGGCGACGAGCTCCCCGGTGATATAGCCTGGTCCTCCAACGATGCGCTCGCGTCAGATTTATGACTCAAAGTAACCTGTCTCCTGACTGACGCCGGTTGTATGTGTTCCTCATGCACAATTTCAGCTCCTGGGGATGCGTCCTTTGAAACGATGAAAGAAAATTGATAGACGGGTTATCATGGCGATAAGTCTTATTTAGGTACTATTATTTAAGTGAACAGTCGGTCAGAGGAACTGGTATCATGTAACTGACATAGAGGTAATGGTCTTTGACTTGGCTTTCGAATCGTGCTACCCAGCTGGTCAAACATAATCCAATAATAATTAGAAAACAGATAAACGAGCGTTGGCAACTGTCACTTTGCCTCGTGAATCCGCTTTCTTTGGAACGCTCACCATCGGCATGGTACCATGAAAAGCGACGGAGCATACGGTATTCTACGCTCCCACAAGTTTGACACCAACGCGTGACACTTTTGGGGCTCGCCAGTGTCAATATTTGTATTATGCGTTGAAACAGAAATTGACGAGACAAAAATTTAGGATCGCTTTGACCAAAAACTTTCATAAGTATGTGGGTAATGTTCCAGACGAACTATTACCTGTAAATTCTCAATGTGTTTCCGTGGCAAACGAACAACTGATAGTGAGAGGAGGGCTCTGCAAACAGACTGCAGGTGGCTTTAAAAATCCCACGTTTTTCTGCTACACTTTCGTTAGTTTGGTTCCACCAGATGATCAAGCACAGTAAATAACTAAGTTTAGTTAGGTAACTAAGGTAAACATAAACGTTTCTTTGAGGCTGCCGACATAACTGGGAAAATCTAACTGAACCTGTTTCAGTGCATTGCACCCTCGGTCTAAAAAGGGCTGAATGAATCGGGGAAGATGAGGAATTTGGTTGCTGATCACAACTATATGATAAGACATCGACAAAAAGTCTCCTGAATGAAAACTCACGAGCAAGCGGATAAAGTAGGCGCCTCGGATTTCGATATATCCAGTCATATGCATTATTTAATGCTCACAGAATAAGCTCGGTATGCACATTCTGTTCTTCCAAAAGCAAGATGAAGAACAATTAAGCAGCAGTGTTGGTTGAAAAGCTGGTGTTCCTGATAAAAGTGGCAACCGAGCCCTTAACACTGGAACCGTTTCAAATGCTACTTGTAAACAAATTATTGCCGCCATTGTCACTAAGACCATAACAAGTCCAACTTTGAATCGTTAGCCTAGCTAAGCGAACCTGATACCATTTAATGTTTACTGGTTTATTTGTGTCGACTCTATAATCTTCATTTGTCGTTTGAATTCCGGCTTCGGTTATTTTTTTGGTCTCAATATTGGATTATGTCATTCCATAAGGGGGTCCTACGCGCCAGATTCCGGTTTTGCCCCACCTGAAAACCTGATTACCGATCCTCTCACTGTTTCGGCTTGTAAATAGTGGTGAACATGACCCTACGTACAGCAGGTCATTATGACGAAGAAATTAGGAAATATTATTTCATCTCGTAGAAGGTTTTTTCAGTAACTATTGGATGTACGCAAGACCTTCCGGGCACGCATCGTAAAAACTGAGGAAACAAACATTGCACAACGACCACAGCATGATGAAGAGTAGGACTCCCGCGTAGATGGGATCCGTTTGGGAACCGCATGAACATAGCTATATGCTCACGACCTCCGTGGTTCGAATAAGATGGCCCAGTAGCTCTCATTTACGGATCATGGCTCCTCCAACACTTTGTTTCGATCACTGTGATAGGTGTCGAGAACAGCCAATCCTCACACTCGGTATCACCGCCACTGTTGATAATGTCATAAAAGTTCAGCCCTTAAAATCCTGTGTAGCTTTTTTAGTCATTCTTTATTTCGTTGTGAGTCTAAGCAAAGTCCGGACAGCAATCAGCTTCGGTTGTTAGTATAGCGCAGCAACATTTAAACTGGACAAACAATGAAGGTACTATCTAATCGCGACGGTTTTTCATTCGTTGTTTTTCATGTTAACTTTGCTATCTGTCTGTGTTCATTGGTCGGTACGCGCCGCTCGTCAGGACTCATCGGTCAAATTCACTTCTGCTCCGTCTACGGCCATGACCAATGTGATCCACGCTTGGCAGCGCCAATTCTGCCTCGATCATTTGGCCTACTTGATGATAATGGCCAAGTACCGTGGGTGTTGCCTGTCTCGCTTTTTATTCGCCCGCAACCGGTCGCCACCGTCTGATCCGTGGAACGTCAAGCGCCACTAGTGTGAACTCGTCGGCGGACACGATAGGTTCACACTGGACGGATTGAGCCAGCCCGTTTTCTTTTTCTCCGTGGCCGGGCTTTGCTTTGCACACACTGAACAAATCAAAGGCAATTCTGTCTAGTATCCTCGGTTCGTACATTTGTGGTCAACCCGCGTCGGTGGCGATTTACTTCCTTCGTGTCTGTCTATGCCGCGTCAATGAACAACGGGCTATGAACATTGATTTATAAAGGGCAAAATAATCATTGCTTGACTGGTTCCATAGGATGGCCGGAGTGGCGATTAGAAAATGATTGTCTGAAGTGAGGTTTGAGGTGACCCGCCGAGTTATTCACAAGAGCACATGCTGGTCTGCTCACTGCTAAGTAACAGAGAAGGCTGATGAGCACACTGCGTTAATTCGTCAGTGTAAACAGACTATACCGCGGAATATAAATGGGATTAAGTGTGGTCCAGACGTCTTTTTAAAGCACTAATGTGAGGTCAAACATAAAGTGAGAAGGAAGAGCGTTCCAAGTTCTGTATACTCGAATGGAGAAAAGGTTGTGGTCAATTTGTGGTCAGTTTGAGCTGGAAGCCCCTAAGGTTGGTACTGCGGCTCACAAGCAAAAGATCGTGATAGGCATGAATGGAGTCAGTCACCTTCAACCATACAACTAGCTATCGCGACAAATCTTACAATCTTGTCTGCAACTACGACAATCGGCGAGTAAAAATACCACATTTTCTGATCAATGGACAATAGAACTGAGATATCTCGGTCATTAAATGTCGCCTGTTGCACCGAATTCTTTCTCTGAAAAGTGTTTGCAAGTACAGACAAATGAATACGTGTCATTGGCAATGATTCAGTCCAACGTCATTCATCTGCCGCGTGTAGTAATCACTCGTTGTGCAACACTCATATTTATCTGCAGAGCAATTCATGTCCTTAATAGTCGCCTTTATTCAGCTCTACGTCTGCTTAAAATGTAGTTCAAACTAGAAGAAACCAACCAATGACAAACCAACAATGGCCAACCACAATGAGGCTGTTAATGTGCAAGTAAATAATGCTAGGTCGACCCGTGGCCTAATGGTTCACAAGACTGTCTTGCAATCCGAGGGCGCATATGGGACCGGGCGACCGTCGCAGTATCCTTAGCCCACGTGCAAATGTTGGTGGTAGCGCGGCAGTGGAACATTGGTACATCGTACCACCGTAATGCTAATACTATTTTTCATACCAAATTATGCTGTAAAGCGTTTTCCCAACAGCATACATTCGCAGACGCTGAGACCTGATTGTCTGTTAGCCAAGACGACCGAAATAGTCTGATAACTGACAGAATATGTTCGCCTTGTCATGGAATGAGACGAGTTGCATGGTGCTTTCAGTTTAAGAGATTGGTAAATATGGAAGACATTATGACAAGTGGGGAGCACTAGACGAATCTTCAGCGTATACTTGAGGTCCAAAATATTCTCTATGTCGGAATGGGAACATCTGTAGCGGAAGAGTGTTATGTGTGTCCTGCTTTTGCGCAGCAAAACATGTAGCACAATCCAACCACTATGCCGCATTGTACCAGTGCTTGGAGAGTTCTAATCTGGTAAACACCAAGACCTCGAAAGCCTGGTAATCGTGAAAAATAGACTGTTCTAAAGACCGGGCCTGAAGAAGCTCTTGTGTCAAGGGCGAAACGTTGCTACAATAAAACCCTACCAAAACCGATTTGTATTCAAAGCCTTCTGAAATCATGAAATCTCAGTCGGTTCCAAACATATTCCAAGATACGGGTAATATATCTACATCTTTTTAAACTAGTAATGTATTCTTGTAGTTGGGAACCTTTTTTAAATTCTACCGAAGCATTTCTATGAAAGTTGTCTACTCACAACCACGTGCCAACACCTAGGAAGCCGTACGTCTCATTCAGGATTATCAATCTGCCCTTGACTCCTGGTGCCAACTGTGGCAGATGTCATTTGCCGTGGACAAGTGTAATATTTTGTCACACAAATGCCAATTACTGTCAGACAGTTTATTACTACAAGGCGCATATATCTCGCAATGCAGGGCAGTTCGCGACTTGGGCGTGCGATATTCAGTCACTTTTGGTGAACATTGTGACTGGTGTGTACAAAAAGTCAAATGCATGAACCGAAGTAAGAACGTCGCTCCGGTAAACAAACTACTGTAATCTGAGAAGTGTCTAGCTACATGAGTACATCAACGTGTCGCAAGGAGAAGGATGAATCAATAGGGAAGCAGGGAATTAGATGCTCTGTGTGTGTGTGTGTGGAGTTGTGTGCACGTGTGTGTCTAGACTAACCGGCAAGCATACTGACCGAATACACGACGTCACATCTCCGCTTAATCATGCAATGCGTCGAAACCATATCGATTCAGTAGTCTTGGTTCTCGACTCGTCCTGCGGAGCTGCGTGCCTTGCGTAGTTTTGTCAGTGGTGGTTGGTGGCACATGCTCCGTTCGTCTGCTACTTGTGAATAACCTCCTTGTGTTGACTGCGTGACCATCTTCCAGCAGTAGTGAAGTGCCTGCCCTACATGCGCGCGTTATTCTTATCAGATCTAATAACGTGGGCTGTCCTATGGATTCAGCGTTTACTTTCACGCGCACGAACGTTCCGGGCTGGAGTAGCAAGCTTCTGGTAAGTGGTGTGATATCAATGGCGACGATCTAACTCGTCGGCATTATTAGTTGCAGGAATTGGAAGTGCGGCATTCAACTTTGTCTGAAGGGCACGCCAAAGCATGAGTTCAGCTGGCGTTTTATCTGACTCGGTGGTGTGCTGTCGGTAAGAAAATAGTGCTTGTAGAACTGCATCCTCCCAACCTGTACCAGATAAGTGAATAGTTTGGGTACTCTATTTCAAGGAT